GTACAGTCCTCGCATGTCGCGATCTTTGTAGATTTCTTCGAGTTCAGTCACATGTATGNAAGGTATTGGGTAGTCTAAGAGAGAGATCGGAAAGGTTTTTAATGTGAAGACAACAACAAGAACAACAACAACGACAGTCCTCGCATGTCGCGATCTTTGTAGATTTCTTCGAGTTCAGTCACATGTATGTCCGTCCAGGTGGGCAAAAATGCCCGTTTCGACTGCTGTAGCCACTCCCTTACACGCTGCTTTGAGAACCCTCCACGTCGCTGAGTTCCAGTTGCCCCTGATCGCCCGGCGCGCTTCCCGACGTTTGGTAAGGGCCTGCTCCAGCGCTGCTCTCGTCTCTGGGGTCTCACACCACTCCTGCGTGCGGCGTCGCCGCGGTTTCTCCCCCAGGGTCGTCCGCGCTGCGTCGAGGAAAGCATTGGTAAAGTCGGTCGCCAATTCCGCGGCGGTGGTTGTTCGCTCGTCCAGTCGTGTGTCGAGGTTGAGGAGGAACCGATTAGTCACCGCACACCGTGCTGCTTCGAACTACGATTCCCGTCGGTTGAATTGCTTCTGTTTCGGTTTAGTCCGGACTGCACGCTTGTGGGCATGCCACCGAGGATGACGGTGGCTACTACCATATTGTGGTCTGAGTCTGCTTTGACTGGGCGAACCGGCTGGGGGATGACGACCACGTTAGATACTCGGCCGTGATGTGCCTGCCTTGTCAGGATGTAGTCAAGGCGCTTGCAATCGTTTCCCGACACACCGTTGTATGTGTGCCTATGAGAGTATTATAGATTCGTTTTATTTTTTGTAACCATCTAGACTAGACTGGTCTGACTCATACCGAAGAGCATTTGGAAGAGATAATGGATGGACTGAATGAGGCAGAGGAGGCTTTCTGCGCCCGACAAGAGGGTTTTTCTGGTGTTTCACCACGTGCTGGAAGGGAACTATTCTCCTGTTTCGTCGTTCACACCAGCGGGGACTTCGCACCGGTAAATGATGTAGGAATTAGACCCGATCTACCAAACCCTCAGCCGGGTGCTGGGAGTGGCCTTAGCAACCAATGCATACTCCGTTGGTCTCTTCGACATACGAAGCGATCCGTTGGTCAATGATGCAGCCAAGAATAATATTTCTGATTCGGTCTGATCGGTGTTTTACCTATCCTATTGAATCAGGCCCTTCCCCCGCCGGCGATCGCCGAAAACACCGATTTCTGAAAAAATTCACCGAAAAAAAAAATCGCCAAAAAAAAAAAAAAACTCGCCGATTCTGGGGGCTCTGCCGAATCGAAAATAGATGTCTCCGATTGTCGCCGATGAAATTCACGGTGCCCTCTGTACCTTCTTCGTAGCTCTATACCAGCTGCACAGCTTCACACACGGCTGAACGGCGGTGCTATTTCGTCGCCTCTTAGCGGTATGGAAGCCTACTCTAAAAGTAGGTGGGATAATAGCAGTGAAAGCGAAGGGGACTCGGACAATGAGGTGCAATTTGTCCGCCAAAAGACAAGTGCCGCAGCTGCCACCAGCGGCGACGCTCGAGGCTGAAATGCAGGACTACTTGGGCGCCCTTCGCCAGTACGCACACGACAGGATCGGACGCCACTCCCTAGCGAGGGATGCCAAGGCCTTGGAGATGTTCAAGGCCGCGAAGCTCACGGACTACGTGTTCATGAACGGCAGGGAGTTCACCGATGACGCCATTCGCAGCCTCAAGGGCTCCCGTTCGTCAAGAGCAAAATGGTCAGGGGGTTTTTAACGGAGAAGGAAGACTACTACATGGCGGCCAGTGACACAGACGCCGAGTACGGCCACATGGCGTTCTGGAACGACAACCAGACAAAGCTCCCTACTTGGCACGCCTTGATGTTGGACGTTGCTCTTCTGCAACCATCCTCTGCGTTCATGGAACGAGTGTTTTCCATCCTGCGGTGTTGCTTTGATGAACGACAAGAAGAGAGCGTGTGCAGCGACCGTATTTATTTGCGCTTCAGCACTGCTCAAGTACAACAGGGGCAGGGTCCAACGTAGTAGGAAGAGAAGGAGGGAATCGCCACAGATGCCGACAACGGCGGCGGTAGCGACGAAAGCGATGACAGCGACAAAGACAGCGACTTGACTGAAGAAGACCTGTGGTTTGTAAATTTAAGACCAATAATAACCAGAAACGGGTATTATACCCGGGTACTTCGTCACCACTTTCGGGTACACTCAGAAATCAAGACGGTTGGTTGCACCCCCATGCTGTCAGCTGATTGGCCGATAAACCATTGTATTGTACCCATTTTTGGCGAAATCTCCATCGGGTACAACCTCCGCTGGAGATAGCACCTACCTTCTCTCTGGTGTAGTAACCTGGTAACCGATATTGGTTACTGGCGTACCCGTAAAGGGTAGATTTTTTACCCAGATATGGTCATATAATCCCGGCGTCCGACGACTCTAAAACCCGCAAAAAAAAACGTATACCGCGCATACCCGCATGACACACCATATTTTATAAACCGCACGTAAAAGTGGACGGAAGCCGCGAAGGTAGAGGGGGGAGTACCCTGGCATGCGGCGGTGCTGCAGGGAGCTGAGAGGTTCATGACCTCCTGGCACGAGGAGGAAGAAGAGGCCAGCCGACAAACGGCACGCAAACGAAACCATAAGCCACCAGCCAATGGGGCGGGAGGGGGGCAGGAGACGGAAGAGATGGCGAGGGAAGAAAGCGAACGAGAAGAGACGGACCGAGTGGCGCGATAAGTAGTGCCGGATTGAATTTCTTTTAGCCAATTCCTCCCCCCCCCCAACGCTGCACCATTGCACCAACCCCCCACTTGTTAGTGGTGACGTACCATTGCAATGTATCGCTGGTTGGTGGCCATGTTTGCGTGTTTGCTTGTCGTTGGTGGTCTCTCCACCGTGTGCCTTTTCTGTCTCTTATTTCTTGTTATTTTCGGCCTGGTCCCTTTTTGTCCTCGCTCTTTTTATTTCATTTTCTCTTTCCTTTGGCCATTTCTTAGGCTGTTTTTTTTTTTCAAAAAATGACAACTGGCCAAATAGCCCCGTGTTACAACGTCTTTTTTTGCCAAAAGTATGACAACGAAAAAATGACGNAATGACGAACGTTTTGTGACAGCCTATCCTGTCATTTAGGCCATTTGTTACGATGTCTTTTTTCAGGCTGTCTTTTTTTCAAAAAATGACAACTGGCCAAATAACCCCGTGTTACAACGTCTTCTTTTGCTAAAATATGACAACGAAAAAATGACGAACCTTTTTTGACAGCCTATCCTGTCATTTTTTGGGCAACTTTTTGACAGGATGCGCTTGTCAAAAAAGGTTGTCATTTTTTCGAATCACGCGCCGACTTTGCTGGCACACACACAAGCATCGCCAATGGGGTGTTCCGCGGTAAAGACGAATAGTTTCCACGAGTTTTTCAATGAGCAGCAAGAAATGGTTCCCAACCTCTGAAAAATTGTACCAACATCCGTTCGGTGACGAGGATCACGAAAATATACTTTTTTTCCCATTTGGATGTCGTGGTGATGACTTATTGATGAATTAGTGGCCAAAATTGGGTGGAAATCGCGTCTGCGGGCCCCCCGAGCAAGTTGCAAACGCCTCCGAATCGTGTAAAATTTTCAGGTTGGGATAAGGTACTGTTGCACATCAAGAATCCGTCGTCAGAATTCCGATCAGGATCGATGCGGCCGTGATACAGCTACGCACTGATATATATGCGCGAAAGCAGGGATAACCTGGAATTACTAGGAATTACACTGAAATATCCCCCCTCCCGCAACACTTTCTACATGTTGATTCAATCTCTCCTGACCTCGAATTAGGGTAATTTTGGGGTGGCGATCACAAATATATTGTTGGAATGTCCCAGTTTTGATTTGCAATGGACTTTCAGCTGCTCAAAAGCTGACAGTAGCTGAGCCATTTCAAAATTCCTGGGATTTTGGATTCTCGGTTCCCACGTCGAGTTTTTGTCTGATCAACTTTCTGAGTGACTCTACCCCCTCTAAATCGGCCAAGCGGAATCGATTGCTGAAGAGAAATGGAGGCGCCGAAATCGGCAACGCGGTGAAAAAAAACAATCAAGGCGATCCGATCACCACTTTTTTTGTTTCTCGTTTTTTTACGCTTTTAAACGTCGTTTGAGACATGTATCCAAGAACGGTTTTTCATTCGAGTTTTTCCTCGCCGCGGGAGAGACAATTCGTCTTTACCGCGGAACACCCC